TATGGAGCAAGTTACAAACCTAGGAGCCCAATGTGCTGTCTTTTCAAGTCAGCTTTCAGGATACAAATATAAAACTGTATCGCACATGATCATGCAAAAAACCTATACCAGGGCCTAGGATGCCCTCCAGTGTTCTGTGTTTCTGTTGTCACTTATACCCATACAAAAAGGCTGCCATAGCAGACTGGTCACGTTCTGCAGGCACTCTTGCAGGAACCCAAGTTGCAGAGTATATTTTTTATATTGTGCCTTTTTTTTCCGGGAGTCACCATGCCCTTGTTTATCTGTCTTATAGTTTCATAGTTAGTAGGGTCGGAAGGGACCTGAGCAGATCATCAAGTCTGACCCCCTGCCATGGGAGGAAAGAGTACTGGGGTCAAACGACCCCAGCAAAGTGATTGTCTAGCCTTGTCTTAAAGACCCCCAGGGTAAGAGCCAGCACCACTTCGCTTGGAAGTTGGTTCCAGATCCTAGCCGCCCTGACAGTGAAGTAGCGCCTCCTGATGTCTAGTCTGAATCTACACTCTGCCAGCTTGTGACCATTATTTTTAGTCACTCCTGGTAGTGCTTGGGGAAACAGGGACTCCCCCAATTGCTGCTGGTCCCCCCTGACTAGTTTGTAACAGGCCACTAGATCCCCCCTCAGCCTTCTCTTGTGGAGGCTGAACAGGTTCAGGTCCTGCAGCCTCTCCTCATAGGGCCTGCCCTGCTGCCCCCTGACCATGCGAGTGGCCCTCCTCTGGACCCTCTCCATGCTGTCCACATCCCTCTTGAAGTGCAGTGCAGCACCCAGAACTGGACACAATACTCCAGCTGTGGCCTGACCAGTGCCGCATAGTATATGGGTCAATGTATTTTAGACTGAGCAATAAGCAATTGCTCAGTTTTGAGCAGTTGTTTCTGCACATACTAACTAATGAATGGAAGAATTAATAAATCCTTATTTCAGTGTAGGGCAAATAGATTGGAGCAGCACCGAGAAGGGTAGATTGGTGATTTTATGTCACCAGTCAGAAAATCCTGCTCTAAGTTATCTTTTTGTGTGTGTGTTGAATCTTTTTTTCTAGGCTGCTTCTCATAGTTTGGTAACTATTAAAAAGTATTCAGTAAATATAGCTTTTCCAACAAACTTGGCACTTCGCTATATTATACTTATGTAGTCCTATGTTAAATGATAATATATTTATGTTGATTCTTTACTTTTACATTTGTATGTTAGAAATAGTGAATGAGAAATTTTAAATTAAAGTAATTCAAGCTATATAAGGAAATAACTTGAAAGTCTGTTTAAATGTACAAAAACAATATTTTAAAGGTTAATTCAGATTTTAAATGTGACTCTTATTTTTTCCTGAATTATCCGGCACACTTGAGGTAGTTATGTATAACTGAGCTTAAAAGGAAGGGAATTGTATGGACTATGATTTTAATATTCTTAAATGTTTTAGGACAACTAGATCTCAGACTTAGTTTTTATTCATAGGTTAGAAGAGCAAAAGTAGAAACCTGACTCAATGAATCTTTGTTTCCACAGTTCTATAGAGTTTTTTGGGATCCACCTGCTGAGGTGTTTTATAGCACATGTTACAGGAAATCTACCCATTACAGAGACCTGATGACAACACACATGTCCCTAACCACAACTATCCTGTTGTACTCCCTTATCCACCATAAAAGATCCTAAAGCCCTACGACTGGATTTATGAGTTTGTAAATAATATAGAATATTGGAATTATTTTGATTTTTTTTTTTTTTAACTCACTGTGTGGAAAGGTGGAATCTTTGGTTTAAATTATTCCCAGAACAGATTATTTTTCAGATTTCAACCATTATTAACGTCATTAAAATATAATAAACATATTTTATACATGGTTTATATTTCCTTCCCTTCCTTCATATGAAGGCAGTCTTGAATGTGAATCAAGTCGTAAGTGAATGCATACATTCTAGAATATATGGTTACAGCTGGAGGTGAGCAAAACCCTGAGCTCTTTGAGCCTTAAGCATCCTCCTTTCTTAGCTGGATCAAGAACATCATGTAAGTGTGTTTTTCCCCTCAAATAGTCATTGTTCTCTAGATCTCCTTTATTGAGGAAATCAGGGGTACCACGTGGAATTTAAACCTTCTGATAAATCCATTTAGTTCTAAGTTGAACAGGAATGCAGGTCTTGGTTTAGTGAGGAGAAGAAAAAAGCAAGCACAAAGCAGTCTTTCAAAACCATCCACCTAATTTTGATTGCAACAAGTTAACAGGACCCAACTGCTTATATCAGGTGTAGGCATCAATTAAGTATACAGATTTCACAGGTAGTTTCAGTGGTTGAAATTTGAGAAGTTCTAGTAAAGATTTTTGTCCCCACTAAACTGAAAGTATTAATTTAATGCTGAATATTTCAAATATTTAAAAAATTGAACATTTATAAGAAGATCCACTCGTAAGAGACGGAATACTTCTAACCTGCCTTGCAGACCACCTGTGGAATTATACATACAGGAGTTTCCCTGAGCATAATAAATCATTGGACAAGAACCTGGGCCCAATTCTTCTTCTGGAGCTAATGAACCAGCCCTGCTTCAAACATCTGTAGCAAAACACGTCAACCTCTGGCTATCCCCAGTCCACAGACTCCTGAAGGAATACTTGATTTCTTATTCATCTTGCAGGGGTGTACTCTGTCCAGAATCCTAGGTTTTTAATTGCTAACAGGGCCCTCTATCGGCATGCCAAGGAGTATGCGACTATCAGACACATTTTTGAGGTCAGTCCTAGGGAGCATCCCATTAGGCAGTAAGCAGATCAAAGCCAAGACTGCCTACACTGGAGCGGGCAATTATTTTGGGCAGAGGGCCGCTTACTGAGTTTTAGCAAGCCATCGAGGGCTGCATGACAGGCAGCCCAGGGCAGATAAATATTAATTTTCTAAATTTTTTAGGGGCCCTGCAGGCCAGATAGAATGGCCTGGCGGGCCACATTTGGCCCCTGGGCTGCATTTTGCCCACCCCTGGCCTACATCCACATTATAGTCTGAGATGTAGCATTATGAAGGTGCTAGTCATTAAGTTGTCTCTTTTCTAGCATTCTTAGTACCGCCATCTGGCTATTGGTCCCAACATCAAAACACTGGCTAATAGCTGTGCTTGCACATGAGAGTTATTTTTACTACTTGTTTATTCACTTCCACTGTAATGTCAGTTTTGTGGGGGGAGAAACTGTGGGCCTTTCTGTACTAGCAGCAGCAAAATACAGCATTACCAGACAGATATGTAATGTTGTGAACTATCAGAGACCTCTGTTCTTTCCAAAAAGCTTGAAAAACAGGTCAGTGACACACTAGAGGGAGACAGAATTTGGGGAAGAATAGACTTTATTCTTCATTGCTTGTCACATACTAGTCACAAAGTGGGAAGAGGGAGAGAGAAAAAGGATTGGCACTACGTTAACTGAGAGGAAGATCTTTTACCATTGAAATTAATACACTATTAGTGTGAATTGTTGCTTTTTTTTGTCAACAGGGAAATGTAATACTTATATACTTATTATTTTTAACTATATAAAATTAAGGTATCTACCAAAAGAGTGAATGTGCATATGCTGGGAAGCTTTAACCAGTTCCATTGGGATTCTTGCTATGCAGGTCTGATTTTATGCTCCACATAGCAAGACTCAAAGGAGAAGTCCATAATAGGGAAGCCACTGTGTAAAGTGCAATATTAAATGACTGATGGCATATGGTTAAGAAACCCCAATACAAACTAGAAATTCCCCACCGAGCCACTCCCCTGCAGAATATAATCTTCCCTAGGTAATGGATGTATCTCAGGAAAAACCTATTTTTGAACAGATACCACAAAGCATTGGACTTACTCTCTCCAAATGCCATGCAGTTCATTCAAAGGTTCATAGAGATGTTCACTGACTCCATTCTCAAGGGTTTGCATTTTTCTGGTACTTACAACTTGGCTGCACCTTTTTTTTCTTCCTCTTCAACTTCTTAAAGAATAAGCTTGAATTCAGAGCAGTGATATGTTACTCAGAACATACTTAACAACTGTTAGACTAATCCTGACTGGGAGAGTGGACCTCTTGCCGGTAGATCAGTGGTTCTCAACCTCCTTAGACCAAGGGCTCCCCTCAGAATATGCCAGCTCTTAGTTTTCACTCATTTTTGACTACATCAAAATAACAGAGCAGTCTCTGCTGCAAGGAACTCAGAGGCCACAACAGGGCAGAACGGTTTGGGCACTCTGGATTCCTGGTTGGAATCTCTGGTCGATCTTGTGCAGCATGTCTGCACCCCTGGCAGTACTAACATTGCGTGGCACCCGGAAAAGGATATCCCCAGGCACCCATTGTGCTACAGCACCCTGCTTGAGCATCACTGTAGTAGATGGAAGCAGGCAAGCCCCGAGAACTTCCCCTCAGGAGATGATCAAACTGAGGTCCTGCAGGGAAGTTACAAGTTTCTCAACTAATATAACCCTTGCCTAAAAATCCTAAGAGTCAAAAATAACTGCATGAAAAAGGTGGCAAGTAGTTGCACAGCTCACAAGCCTGGCTTGAGAGGGAGAAAAATGCTCTTGGCCCAAGGTTCACGTAGGACAGCAGGCCTGAAGCACCTAGAAATGATCCCCAAAGGATTCAGTCTCTTCCAAGCAGTCTCATCCCTCCTTGGGCAAAGGGAAGCAGGGAAAGGCTGGTTTGCCTTGTTCAAATAGATTTTCATGTTCTTTCCCAGTCAAGCCTGAACACCTTGTTTTCCACTTGTAGTTTCTCATGGGCTCTTGTCTAACATGGAGCTGTGAAACTCCAGTCTGACACGGTGGGGTACAAGTGAAGCTGAGGAGACCTCAACATAGGCCAGCGACAGGTGCTGCATGGGTGGGGAAAGCTGCAGAGGTTGATAGTTCCCAACCCGTGAGATTCGGCCTCTCTTTAAGAGGCACAGCACAAGTACAGCAAATATATAAACTAATTTTTAAATATTTTATTTTTAAAAATTATAAAATATTTTAAGTTTAATTAATATTAATTTTTAAACGTTAAAAAATTAAGATTAAAAATTATGTTTAAAACATTCTAAAATTTAAATTTAAAAAAACGAAAAAGCACGTGTCTATCAGCGCATGCGTGCGGTGAGATCCTCCGCCGCCCCGGCCAGGCCCAGCCTTGAGAGTGCTCCGCTGTCCAACAAACCGTACACCGAAATGGCGGCGCCCGTCAGCAGAAACCGGAAGTTCCGTGGGAGTCAACGGAAGCCTCCCACAGCTGGGACAAAGGACAGGGGTGGGAGGATTTCGAGCCAGCGTCCGTACGACAAAATGGTCGCGCGGCGCAGCATAGACCGGAAGTCTGGTGGGCGTAAGCGGAAACGCCCATGGAAGGGACAAAGGGAAGGGGCGGGACCCCGATTTTGGTTCCGTACGAAATCATGGCGGCGCCCACAGCATAACCCCGGAAGCTCTGCAAGCTAGGGTGGAAGTGGCGCGCAGCTGGGGGGGCGGGCATCATGGCTGACGAGGAGGAGGATGTGCCGGTGAGTGAGTGAGTGAGATACGCACGGGGAAGTCGGGGAGAATGCACTGGGCATACGGTAACCCCTCCCACCTTTTACCGTCCGCAGTTCGAGGAAGATGCGGAGGAGGCGGGTGGCGGCCTGGACGGCGGGCAGGGCAAACGCAAGCGCCTCTTCTCCAAGGAGCGTGAGTGCCGGGGCGTGCGCATGCGCGGAGGTGGGAGGGTGGCACTTGGCCCGGGCGAGTCAAGCGCGAGGCCCGGGCAGACGGTAGCTGCGCATGCGCGGCGTTTTCCACTCTCTTCCGTAGTGCGCTGTATGATGTATGGCTTCGGGGACGACCAGAACCCCTACACCGAAGCCGTGGACATCTTGGAGGACCTGGTCATCGAGTTCATCACCGAGATGGTGCGTCTGTGCCAGCCCTGCCTGCCGCCTTGGGGGAGGGTGCCTTGTCTGGGTGCATGGGCCACCCTACTGCCTGGCACAACAGTGGGGAGCATGGCTTGCCAAAAGGAGGTTCAACAAGGACAAGTGCAAAGTCCTGCACTTAAGACAAAACAATCCCATACACACAGGCTGGGGGGCGCTGCCTGGCTGGGCAGCAGCTCTGCAGAAAAGGACCTGGGGGTTACAGTGGACAATAAGCTGAATATGACCCAGCAGTGTGCCCTTGTTTCCAAGAAAACTAACAGCATACTGGGCTGCATTGGTAGGTGTGCTGCCAGCAGGGTATGGGAAGTGATTATTCCCCTCTACTAAGCACTGGTGAGGCCACATCTTAGATTTCATAGATTTCATAGACATTAGGGCTTGAAGGGACCTTGGGAGATCATTGAGTCCAGCCCCCTGCCCAAAGGGCAGGAAGTCAGCTGGGGTCATAGGATCCCAGCAAGATAAGCATCCAGTTTGCTCTTGAAGGTGTTCAGTGTAGGTGCTTGAACCACCTCCAGTGCCAGGCTGTTCCAGACCTTGGGGGCTTGGACAGTAAAGAAATTCTTCCTTATGTCCAGCCTGAAATAGTCTTGTAGTAGTTTATGACCATTTGACCTCATCATCCCTTGGGGTGCTCTGGTGAACAAATGTTCCCCCAGGTACTGGTGGTCACCCCTGATAA